GCTTGAACGAGCTGTATTTTAACGTAGAGAAACGGATCTGCCGCGCAATTCACACGTTTCACCCGTTCGATGCGTTTCAGAAAATTGGTTTCATTACCAGCTTTTTTCGAGCAAGAGCAAAACCGAGTTTTGGCGAATAGTATTGTTAGAGCTTTCTTTTTTTCGCTGATAAATCCGCATCTATATAATTGCGCATTGAAGCAAAGCTTCGTTAATGTAATGATGTGGTTTCGACTGATTTACGAAACATACCATGATACCCACATGAAGTTTGTAAAATGAAATTTGATATAAATTAGTGCAAATGAAAAGTTATGCACGGATAAATCTTTTATGGTAAAAGTGAATATACGTGGAAATGTATTATTCGGAGATATAAAATTTTCATCAAGTATTAAAATCAGAAAGAAAGAAATATTTTTTTAAATAAATACTTTTACAAATTTTATAAATTACAGAATAAAATAAAGTTTATTTTTTTGTATAAGAAGATCAAGAATCTTCTCTCAACAGCAGTTTCCATCGAAAAATAAGATGTTTTTCTCTAAACAGTTTTATCTTTTAAAAATAATTAGATTTGGTTTCTTAGGAAGAGCCTATTAACATTTCACAATCCAATAAGAGTTCATTTTGTAGATGTTTATTGCCAATCTCATTATTCTCGATTTATTAAGGATGGCATTTCTATCGGACACTTATTGTTTAATGCAATCCTGCTAATAAAAAATTCTTCGTTCCTTTGTAATCTCCTTATATTCAAAAGACATCTATAAATCCTTTAGTAAAAACTTCGATAATACTCAGACAGGCTTCATTATGAAGTTCCTGCATCTCCGTCGGCTTTGCTGTCCTATTCGATAATGGGAATTCGTTGGAACAGATCGAACGGTTCGAGTTGCAGCGTCGATGTGAATTGACAGGAAAGTGGTATGTTTCATGAAACCTACATTCTTTATATGCGTTTGGCATATGAAGAAGCATCTGGTTCAATAATAATCGATTATCTAATGTGACAATTCCACTTTTTTCTTATATACAAGACATCAGTTTTTATGTCGTTATTTATAGAATATCAAAGAAAATTGAACATAAAGTTATTTTATGAGCAGTATTAAGTGGCAATCAACTGGAAAATGTTTAACACAAATGAGAGAAGATCATATCCGGTCAAAGCAAGTTTTAGTGCCTAATAATATTTTTGTGTGAATTTTACAGTTTTCAAGCAAACTGCGCGCCAATTGAGATACTTATTAACATCAATAATATTAAATTGCTTGTCAATTTAATTTGTAATATTTTACCGTAGATTTTATATGTAAGCTCAATTAATATTATATAAGATATTACGTACTCCAGCTTCAGTTCAGAACTGTGTTTGAAGATGAAAACCGACAAATAATTGGTGTGTCGTTTGATTGAACTACAAAATTGTAAATTCACACAAACATATTATTAAACAATTTGCTGTGGCAAGATAAAATCTTCTTTGCTCATTTGTGTTATTTTATGAGATTTTTTATTTAAAATTTAGTCGTCAGGGTAATATTAAAAGTAGATTAGCAATTACGATGATAGCTTGAATCTGAAGTAAAAGCTAATTAGAGTATTTACAGCCTACTCGTAGGCTGTAAATATACTCTGGCAAATTCTTGGTATTCTTTCGGCTGAATTACTAATTTCCACATATACTTCCCATTTATACTTTCCTTTGAGTCAGATATTGCGAATAAGATATCATATGAATATGTCTAATCTCGAAATCGTATAATTACAGCTTTTTATACACATCTGTTTATACCCTCGTGTCCCTTGTGTACAACAGAACATACTATGTAATCATATATCTTAGACAATCTAATCAGTGTGATAGCAACTTGATCGTTGGAATTCGATGTTGTGTAACTATCGATCGATCTACTTAATATTCAAGGGGATAACCAATGACTGTGTAGGTATACAATTCTAATTGACATTATCTCTGGTCCAATTCATGTCCAATATTTATGCGATTATTGTTATATCATTGTGTAGCCTTTCTATATCAAAATTAGTTTATCATATTTCTGGAAATTACAAAAAGAAGATATTGCTGTATTATCTTTAATAAACCGACTCGTAAAATTATGCTTATCGCTATACTATTATATTGTTTCAGGATCAATATATCCTCAAATGAGTTTATGATTATTGCAATAAACTGACTATATATTGTCTATTGTGTGTGTGATAGTCTGTTTATTATTGCAATAAATAGACTATCAATTTTCTAGTAATAGAAGATGAACATTATTTCTATCGTGAATATCCAATTTCCATAACGAGAGAAAAAAAAACAATACTTTAAGTTAAAATATTCTTATTGTACATTTAGATAAATTAATTAGATAAGTATCTCTTATACACACGCTGAAATTTTAATTTCTTAATTGAAAAAAGGTATATTATATAGGATTTAAAACAAATTAAAATATTTTTCAGGATAGTCCGCGATTAATTTTTATTTTCCTTCTGAGACTTAAGACAATTATTTGCATGAAATTGTAGGATCTAAAGGCGACAAATCAATATAAAGATCTTGAAATGAATGAAATTTGAATTCTTTCTTAAAAAACGTGCACATAATAATGTTGGAAATTTAATTCGCGATTTTGCAATTTACAATTTTATATCAGTTTAAGCAAAAATAAAATCCGCTAAATAACGTATATTTTGAATCTTAATAATAGGTTTTTAAATTACATCATCTATCACGTATCTTCTGGAATATAGTTATTATTTATCTATACACAACTGATTCATTTTTCCCGTTAAAACGTTCCGTGATAAACGTCAATTCTCGCAAACGAATGTTATCTTGCGTATTTTTTTTTATTCCATGTACGATATTTACAGGATGCGACCGAAATCGAGCATGGCTCAATACATTCACAGAACAAGTCATCGGAATATTGCGGTGCCATATGATGGAATATTACGTAAGCCGTTTCATTTCGCATCACATCGTGCTATAAAAGAACGATTTAATATCGCCGTTTGGGACTTTACCCGTTCAAAGTTTAACTTGCATTCTGCTTTTAAACAAGCCGTGTGTGGGTGAGCTATACCGGGAGAGGACTTTGAATTTTAATATATGGAAGTCTCAACAAGATTCGATCCCACCCCCAGTTTTGCGAAACTTTCGACCTATAACGTGTCATTTCCAGGTCTGTGAAAGCCGTTTATATTGAAGTTACCGAACTTCTTTCCATGCGCTTTTCTTTTATATTTGGAGACTTGCGCCTTAATCATGGCATATATATTGTTACGTCGACGCTAAAATATCTCGTGACACGATATAATTCTCTGTGAAACTTTTTATTTCGCTTCTACCTCTTCGTTGTATTTCCCCAGCGACGGGCCGACGATCGACAACGATATAAAGGGCAAGGATGTTTTTATATTGTAATGAAGGCTTGATATAAAGGACTATATAAACGCTAAAATAAGAATTTTAGAATCTTCCTTTTTAAAATGTCTTTATATATTGGGAAAAGAAGTATTTGATGTAGTACACACAATAACTAATTTATTAAGATAAAAATGTAATTATGGCAAAGAGAAAATACACTACAATTATAATTCGTATTAGACCGACAAAAATAAATTAAGACAAATAATCCTATTTTCGGATATAAAGCGGATCTTAGTGTCAAAATATTTCAGAGTGAATTTATATAGGGTAACTCCGGCAAATACGCCTCCCTGAGATTTACGCCACAAAAGTCAGAAAAGATAGAGGGAATGGGGGTAATTTTCCCGCAACTATTCTGTTACATGCCTTTATGTTATATTAGTAGTTGCATAGTAAAATACAAGTGCTTTGCTTTCATATTCTTTGTTTAGTTTTTTATCTTGTATATTCCACCTGTTTGAGATATACGACATTTTTAGCGGGAGGGATTTATGCTGAAAGCATACAAAGTGCGCAGATTGAATTCAGTACACTAAATGTAATAAACGCATTACACGAAATACGCACCTCATATCATAACACTTGTACTACATGTAGGAAGATTGTAATTATTATTTATTACTTCATATACATATTTATCATTCTTATTCCTTAATAAAATTTTATGAACGCATTTTATAAGTTATTGTGTCATTTTACGTCTTATTTATATGCATTATTTGTAAATTTTTTATGAGTACATACCCCCTCCCCTCCCCCTATGAGTATATCCCACCTCTATGGGATGTACGACAAAAATACAAGGGTTTCAAAAAGTTTATTTTTTAATACGAAAAATAAATATTTCGGATTTCTAATATTTTTTTATAGTAGTAGGCAGTACAAAATTTTTACTGATATATTTCGTTTATTTTAAACATATTAAATAATACTTAATAAATTAAGTTTTTGATAGGTGCGGCGTATATACCGGAGTTACCCTACATAGCCAATTCTGCAAACCGCGTGCGCACCGAAATCTTTTTCAATCTTGAAACACAATCATGAACAAAAAATTAAAGTAATAATATTATATATTAAATATTGACAAAAGCAATTTAGTAATTTTTATGCTAATAAGCATCTTAGAAGAATATTAATAATTTGATACTAATCTAAGTATCTTAAGAATTAATAAATTTGTCACATTTTCTATAATCTCGAGGTATATTAAAGTTAGAAATTTACGTCAGAATTTAGCAAATTTGATTTGTAATTTTATATAATGCCATGTATTTATGTGTTATATATGCGCATTTCAATTCCCCTAAAACATCTCTCATATTGTAGTAGCATCTCAAATTATAAATAGAATTCTCTCTCTGCCACGATTTATAAACCTTCTAAAGTGACCTTTACACAAACGTAAAATATTTACTCACATGAGTAATCAATTGATCTTGTTCTAATCGAAGTTTTCACTTACACAATCTGCATAAACCAAATTCATATAAACAGATGAGGGATATCTATAGCAATTTTCTTTCGACGCATCTCCTGTTTTGTTTCGATTCGTTCATCGGCGAGATGGAAGATGAAACGATAACTTTTCGTGTAGCGGTCGTTACGTAAGTCGATCTATCTGTTTGGGGCAAACGTGGTTTACCGCCGCATCAGCGTAAAGTGCACAAACATACGACTAAACGTGGGTGGAATTCTCAACAATTGCGATGTGTTACTATAAAAAAATTTCTTTGCCGTGAGGAAGCACCAGTTCTAGCATTTTGAGAATTTCCAGTGTTTCGTTTTATCTTGCCGCCTCCGTAGCTCAACCGGAGGTGGAAATCGCGCACAAGTATTCGAACGGCTTTCCTCCCTCTCGTGAATCTCGTAAAGCTCTCGGTATTCCTTTAGTATGTCCGGCTATATATCCGAGCGTATGTATGTGCACTATGTTAGTCAGTTGGCATTTGTCGTTCCGACAGAATCTCATAAAATACACGTACGAAGGAAACTGGAAGCATATCTAGAACTGAAAAGCTACGGAGATGAACGTTTTTACGAAATCAAAGCATCTCTCTCACCAAGAGATACCAAGAGAAAAATCAAGTTTCTTGAACGAGCAAGATATCCTGGATTCAAAAGATGAAAATCTCTACTTCACATACTTCACATGTAATGTGAAGAAATTTTATTACGACAAACGAATAATATTAGAACAGTTTGCTGTCACATCCGAAAAAGTAGCGATAGTAATATATCAAAATTACATAAAGAGAATAACATATGATGGGGTATGAAAGAATACATCTGATTATATATAACACGTTCAATCCCGGGCCAATTTTAAGTGATTTAATCACGTCGCGTGAGTCATCGATAACTCTGTCATAGAGATGTTTATTGATATTAGATGTTATCGTTCGTTTTATACATATATTTCCATCTTCGCTGCAAAATATTGAATAGAAAAAGTGAATACAATATCTAATAAACACTTCAAAATTATTCGTAAAATGAATATTTTAAATATTATTAAATATTATCAAGATATATTTTTAATATAATTATATACCTATTATATAAATATTATATACCTATTATTTTATATATTATATAATAGAAAGAGCTTATAATAAAAAATTGAAATACAAAGTTCATAAAAAATAAAAGATTTTATTTTTATAATGTCTTATATGTGCGTTTATAAAGATTTAATAATATTATTGTGTAACATAATAAAATGCTTTTATTAGAAATATCGACTATGTGATACTTTATTCGATACATTGGCTATTCATTCGACGTTGATATAAATACTTTTTAAATTATTCAATATATTCATATTCGATATCTTTTTCCATACTTATGGTATTTTTATTTGCGTTTATTATATTTGTTAAATAACATGTATTTTTTATAATGGTTAAAAAAATTATAAAAATTATTATAAAGGTCTAATGTACCAATATTGCATTATATATAATTATTATGTATCCACCTATATGATATTAAAAATTATTTTATAATTATATTTCTTTTTATAGCCAAAATATCAAATGATCTGAATGGAAAGTTCAATGCGGATCATCAGTGACACGGAAACCGTTAATGTTTGCGCTTCCAAACATTCATTTATATACATATTTTCTGGTACATTAGACGTGACATGTAGAAAGCTATTTATAAAAAAATAATTTTTATTATCGCTGAGGAAAAAGCGATTTTTAATTTGAGCGTTACAACGCGGCCGTTTAGACAATGGAAGAAAATTTGGCAAAGGACAAACTTAGCAGGTATTCAAATTGTTAAAATACTGTCACCAACTCGACAGTGAATGATCGAGTTGGTGACAGCTCTGCTATTATGGTGACATCTCCATTATAACACGGAAAAAAATAGATTTGCTGATTCAGCAAAGCTATAGCTTGCTACGTGAATTCAACATCTGTAATTAAGAAAATTTGGTGGTTCAACAAAGAAATTATATCTGTAATAATTGGTAATACTATCATTGTTATTGCAACAAATTAGTTCAGTTGAAATAACTAATTTAATATATATTTGCAATACATATTTTAATCTACATAGTATGTTGAACGCGGGTCTCAAGTTGCAAAATTTTATAGACATAGTGTGACTTGCGTAACATATTTTCGGCCGTAAGACGCAGAACGCAGAACGCGAAAATTAACTTCAGTGCATCCTGTGTTTATGTCCAGAGCCTATATGTGACGTATAATTAGGTTAGATTAGGTTCTAACTTTGCAACCGCATTCTGCGTACTATGAAGATCCAGCTTAATACGGTTAAGTAACACTTTAAATAAAAATTGTATATACGTTTATTGTTGTATTATTCAATAATTCAAGAATTGCATTTTTTTTATTGTATTGAAATAAAAACCATATATTTATCAGAATTTGTTGTTTTAATTAACTTAAATTGTTAGAGCAACTAATTCTTTGCTACAATGAAGATTGCTAATGTAATAAGTTTCTTCATTATAGCAACAAAAGTATGCGCTATCTTAGTTAGCATGTTTTGTTACAAATGTTGACTTTTATAATAGATTCATTTTTTCAGAAAGTTATCTTTGCTGTATTAACAAATTTCTTATGCGCGCTATTAGAACAAATATGATTAGTTACAATCTTTAATTTAATTCAGCTACACAACTTTGCTACTTTAACATAGAAAACTGGCTGTTCCTATATATATTACGGCTGTAGATTTGATAAATCAATGAAGTTTTTAGCTGTTTTAGCAAATCTTTTTTTTCCGTGAATAGTTGACGTTTACCCCGACATGTCTTTATGTAACGAAATGTATTTGCGTACCTTTCTCTCACAGAGTTGCGTCGTCAAAATCCTTTGAAGAACTCGTAGGCTGATCCAACTCCTTTGAGATGTTCGTTGTCTGCTCTAGAATGATCATCTCGCACCCCTCGGGATTCTGCGTTTTTGTATTACTGGGCAATAGGGTCTCTTGCAGGGTGTTATTACCGTTACAAATCTTCTCGCCTCTGCAACTCTTCTTGATTCTCGGAGTGTTACTGTTCGAGTTTCTTGAATAACACGGCAGGACCTTTGAAAATTTATATTTTTAGTTAATTTTTTAGTACGTGATTTCTCTCTCTCTCTCTCTCTCTCTCTCTCTCTTTTTGTCAACATTTAATAAACGACATGCATTTTCTTGAAACATACATGATTTATTATTTCCCTTATATAATACTAACTAATTTAATATTGGCCAATTTAATACTGAAAGTAGGTAATTAATTACTTATTTGGAGTACTAAAAGCACCGAAAAAAACAACAGTATTTTTAATACTTAAAATAAGTAATCAATTACTGTATTTTAATATTTTAACTAGCATTGAATTGACTGTAGTATTAGATTTCTGTAAAGATTATGCCAAGTTGGATTTAGACTAATTTATGCTACTATTCATAATATTATGTTATAAACGATTTATACGTGTACGTTCATATATTTTTATGTTACACATTTATATTAAATCAGGCAGATTATATATTTACAAGTAATCGAAATAATATCTCTTAAAAGTTAGTTTAGTTTTTTGTTATGAATTTCATTAGCTCAACTATATAGGGTGAGTCATTTTAATCGATCACCCCAAATATTTCCGTTCCCTTGCATTTTACAAGAAAATGTTTCAGACAAAAGTTGTATGGTTTCGAGGGGGACATAAGATGGTATCATTGATTTGACCTTGGGTGGCGTTGTCAAGATCAGACGAGGGTCACATTAAATTTTTTAAACGGAACCCTCCATTTTTTATTCTTGTAGCTTACCTCGAGAGCTTTTCAAAATACTATAATAAAATATTTTTTCATTAAATACTTTTCGAGTTACGAGGCTTGAAAGTCATAGTATGTGCCGGCATTAGCATTACCCAAGGTGTCTGACCGACGGCTAAAATCTGTTGAATGTTGTTCAGGATCATTACCTGGATAACATTTGTCAAGATCAAGGTCATTGGAGATTGTTCCTCTTATTTTCACTTTTGCACTAAAAATTTATTTCTATGTAAAAATGAAAATAAGAGGTACAACATCCAATAGTCTTGATCTTGACCAATGTTATCCAGGTCGTGATTCTGAACAACATTCAAGAGATTTTAGCCGTCAGTCGGACACTTTGGGTAATGCTAATTCCGGTACCTACTATGGCTTTCAAGCCTCATAACTCGAAAAGTATTTAATAAAAAAATATTTTATTATAGTGTGTGTTTTGAAAAGCTCTCGAGGTAAGTTACAAGAATATGTAATAAAAATGGGAGGTTTAAAAAATTTAATGTGACCCTCGTCTGACCTTGACAACGCCACCCAAGGTCAAACCAATGATACCATCTTATGTCCCCCTCGAAACCATACAACTTTTGTCTGAAACATTTTCTTGTAAAATGCAAGGGGAAGGAAATATTTAGGGTGATCTATTAAAATGACTCACCCTGTACATAAGAGCGATATTTGATTTTGTATAGTATCCTTTAGCAACGATATTCCTCAAGGTATGGTGCATTTAAATTAATTTTACACCTAAACGAAATTATTAATTGATTCCGTAATTGCAGTTTATGAGAGCGCCGTTATGGGACAATCGTTAACCACATTTTATTATTGCGAAACTTAAGGTCGGAAATTGATGAAAGAGCGTAATCAAGTTGTAGAAGATGTGGATAATTAAAAATTAATTTAATACAGATCGAGAAAAATTAATCAAACTTGATGAGCGCGAAGAAAATGCTCGTGACTCGACTTTCGCATGATACTCAAGTCTCATTAATATCAAAGCATTTTCCATAAGCGGAATTACGTTGCAAATTAAATGTATTGCTATTAATTCCTTTTAATTACTGAATATTGCTTTTAATCGCTTTATAAAAAGGTGAATATTACAATAAACAATAGATCACATCAAGTGATACTATTTTTTCCGTTTCTATTTCTATAACAAAATAAATATACAAAGAGAAAAATAAATAGAAAGAGCAATACACAATGAAAATGTAGGGAGAAGAAATAACAGAAACAAGCGTTATGCGAAATCTGACATATATTTTCCGATAGAATATTAGAAAACGAGAAAATTTCGCAAAGTATAAAACGTCCTTATCGTGTAAATCTTTTTCTATTTTATGAATTCGCAAGTAGCTGAAGGAAAGTCTTTTCGCGAGAAAAAAGAGCGCAAAAGTTATTCTTTTACCATAAATTCTTGCCGGTAAATGCGACCATGCTCGAAACCGCCAATACTTGCATCTTTGAATCGCTTGAATACCCTTATTCAATGCAAGTTGTATGGCATTCAATAAGGCATCCGACAAAACACGTATTTATGCGTATCTCGTTTATACGCGACTGTCTTACTGGTGCACATTGATGTCCTGAACACGTTTTATCATTTCGAATATGTAGACTCGGAGGGAAGAAATAGCTCTGCTACAAATTAATTTCGGCGCAATAGAATTCTAGTTTCTCCTCAATGTGTTGCAATTGAGAACATAACACATCAGATTCTTGCTCCTTCGACGTAAACAGTTCTGTGCCCTAATTACTTAAAGTGCTTCCCTGCACACTCCTTAGAAATTACATGTAGGTAGTTCTAGATGCATTAAATGTATGGCGATGTAAAATTATATTATTCGTAACTAAAAAAGATATATTATGTAAAATATACTGGAACGAACTTTATTTTTTTTTTGTAAAAATATTGCCTAAATTCCTTGCATAAGTAGAAATTTAAAAAGCTGGAAAATTTTTAAGTAGAAATTTAAATTGGTGAGAGCTTTGCGTTTTCAAGAATTCACTTACTTTGAAAACGTCGAGAGATACAATTTTTAACGTATCATTTCTGTAGCTGTACGATTTCGTGAAGGTGGATTTTATTAAGTATACAGGGTGAGTCATAAACATGTTTTCAAATTTCGCGTGTTGTTGAATAAAAAAAAGAACAAATATTTCTATAAACTTCAGGTCATAAATGCTTCGTTATATCGAAATAATGAATATAAATATACATGTGAAATAATGATTGAGTAAAATCGCACAAAAAAATTATTTCTTTCGTGTGTAGAAAATCATAACAAATTTATCTTTTTCAAAAAAGGCCAAAAAATGATCCGTGCTTCTCTCAGAAAAAACCGTTACATAAATTATTATATGCGCTCGTATGTGCAAGCAACAAAAATATCCACATGAAAATAAAGTCATTATTTGATACTATATTTGTGTCCATTATTTCGATAACGAAGCATTTATGATCTAACGTTCATATTGGATGCATTTGTTCTTCTTTTGCACGAACACGTTCATAAAATTTTAAAACGTTTATAATTCACCCTGTATAAAAGTATTACGTATACGTGCTCTCCGACTGCATTAAAAATGATCTGCTTGCTCGTGTATATCTTGCAGATGAATGGAAAGCAGCGAAATAGACGGATTTTTCCGATATAAGCTCCGCAAAATCCAGTTTAGCGTTGGCTTGATACCCTTGTGATATGAGATTCATTAATGTTAATGGATATGAATACAGTAATATAAGTCACGATACTACTTTATTTAAAAGTTTGAGGTGAATGTTTATTATTTACAGAGGAGATGCTCCAAGTGTCCTCCATTTTTCATTTAAAAGAAAATATCTGATTTGATATTCAATTATTAAAAATCTATTCATATCTAATTTAGCCTTAATCTTCGTGATGTGATACTCAGAGAAATGAAAGCTATAGCGAGAAGCTCGCTGCATATACACACCTGCTTGAATTCCTTGCGGAAGTTGTCGTTGAGCCAGGCGTAGAGGAACGGATTGTAACAAGTGCTGCTCATGGCGATGCAGTGCGACATGAAAAAGCAGAATCTGTAGTAGGACCAGTCGTTGGCGTACGAGTAGAAATCATCGACGACGTTGACAATATTGAGCGGCAACCAGGACACACCGAATATGGCAACCATGGCGATCAGCATCCGATTAGTCCGGCGTTTCCTCTCGCGATCCGCTTCTTCACGCTTGCTGGTCTTGGTACCGGGTTTGGCACGCGCCCGATCGTTCAGCTTAATCGACACGCATATGTAGCAAAAGGAGATTACAAAGAACGGCACGACAAACTGCAGTATCGATGTGAGCGAACTGAAGACCTTGCGAAATGGCTCACTGGGCCAATTCTCCTCGCAGAAGGACATATACGTCTCCTCTAACTGCATGTAAAGCCCATATGGCAAGGTAAGTAACAACGCGATCACCCAGATACTCACGATGATCGCTAAGCACATCTTAATCTTCATGCGCGGATGGAACGGATAGATAATCACTAGGAACCGATCGACGGCTATGCTTGTCAGTGTGAGCGTGCTGATGTACACGCTGACGCCCTGGGAGTAGGGCACCAGGTGGCAGAGGGTCTTACCGAAGATCCAACCGCTCAAAAAGGTATACAGAGGGGTAAAGGGCACGGCCAGTACGCATAGCAGCACGTCGCTGAGCGCGAGATTCGTGATGAAGAGATTGGTGACAGTGTGCATCTGGCGATTTCGACCGACGACGAAGACTACCAGTACGTTACCGAATATACCCAGCACGAAGATAATGATGTAGAACAAGCAGAATATTATTTGCACCGACAAGTTCGACGTTATGTCCTCCGACACGTAGCTATAGTTGCGCGCTGACGAGTTCTGCATGGTGACTAATATTAACGACGACGTTATTTGCGTTGTACCATTATTCACGATGCATTTTGAAGAGTGCTACATCAGTTATTCGTGTTACACGTCTCCTCTTCTTCTTCTTCCTTCTGCTCCTTTTTTTTCTCTCTTTCTGTCCCGTCGAATCGATCATGCGTCAGTGATACGCTGACGCGGATGAATTCGCTGATGGCCCATCTACTTCTGCTCTTTTTTTTCTCTCTTTCTATCCCGTCGAATCGATCATGCGTCAGTGATACGCTGACGCGGATGAATTCGCTGATGGCCCATCTCTCAGAACGAATGCAGGGCGGAAGAGGTCGATCCGGTAATGCAATTCGACGAGGTGGGAATTATCCGGAAGGAAATCCAAAGGAAGTATACTTCGTCGATCACGAGAAGTGAATTAATTTCTCATGGAGCTCCTCGCTCATTAATGTTAACAGCACTGCTGTTATCCCGTGCGGCGGACGTTCAGGCGTCGGAGGGTTCTGATAAGCGAGTTATAGCCTCAGATAAGGAGATTAACTCGAGTTTCGTACCGCGGTATCCTTGCAGGCCAACTGTTTGAGGGCATCGATTACACTCGACGCGTATGCAAGCTTTGCAACTCTTGCTCGACTTCCGCCGAGATAATCCTTTAAGCACGATTTAATTTAAGTTTAATTCTCTGACAGTTTAAAGATAGATTAATGAAGAATACCATGCTTTTATCGTTATCTCTTATTGAATATTTAATTACTTTTTTATATTACATCAATTATAGAATCTTGAAATTCGCTTCATCCGTTTTTTAGAGTGTCCGAAGTTAAAAATATCTTCTTTCTGCATTCTAAAGATAAGACCATTTTTCAAACAGAATTCACGTTGAAACAGAAAATAGCCAATGTCGTAAATAAATGACGATGAATTTAGAGGTAACACCAATTGTCTTGTTCATTAAATCACAAGGTAGCAATGAATAAATGTTTAATTAAAGAGCAGAATACAGGCAGACAAGCGTGAATGCTACTAAAGAGCCAAAGGGTCGTTGTATATTTCATTCTTACTCCTAAATTATAGTATAACAGCTTTACGCTGTTCTTTTCGATAATTCACAACGGAGAAATACTCAATTGTCCAAAGTCATTTGTATTAAAAATTTCTTTGACTATTTACAAATACGGTATGTGAATATTATACGCTTGTCGATATATTAATAGAAACGTCGATTGAACATTATTCGTTGGGCGTTCACATTATACTCGAAGCGAATGGCGGCGACAGTCAAGCAATTAATATGTTTCGCGACAAAACTTTCAAACTTTCTAGGAAACGACGATCGTTCCTCTCGCTGAAACAAGACATAGGAGAGCAATTAGGAGCACCGATTATGACCTGGTCGGTGTGGGTAAAACCGTCAACAAAGTTTGGTTGTGTCGTCATCGCCATCAAACAAGCGTTTCAGAAAGTTTCGAGCGGTCGACAATACCGGCCACGTCGTGTTTCACGAGTCTTGAAAGTGAGAGAGAGAGAGAGAGAGAGAGAGAGAGGCTATTTAAAAAGCTTGACAGAACTCGTTAGGTTCCAGCACTCCTCAAGATTGTTTTGTCATTAAGAATCGGAAATAGGACGCGTCTATTCTGATGACACAGCTCTGCGTTCTCCTTTTTCTTTCTCTTTTTTCCTTCTTGGATGTGAATAATAATGTTGTCAAAGGACGATACGACGATTTTATTGATATTTTTAACGGCTGCTGCGTGCGGATTTGCTTACGCGCGGTTAAGGGGTCGTAAATTACACCGAGCGAAAACAGTTTTCCACTCTTCAGATACGCGATGCGTATTAATCGAAGATTAATGGAATCGCGTTACGTGTTACACCGTTGATGGACATCGATTTTCGCGATTATAATAGATATTTTAATGAATTCGATGTGAACTAGTCGGGAGAGTATCCAGAAATTATTACGAGAGGCTTAGAGAATGAGGAGTATTAAAAAACGTCCCCTTTAAATTATCGAGCGATTAATGTAGCGTGAATTAGTAAATCCGTTGATAATTGTTAAATTTTATATATCATGTATTTCAATAAATAAGAACAAGGAATAATTTTTTAAATATATACAGATTTAAATATAGGTATACTTAAACCTTAAATCTTAAGTATAATATTACGATATATCGTAATTACGATGTATTTATAATATATCGTAATTTTGCATTTCTATATATAATATATTGGTATATACCTTCAGTTTTTTAATAATCAAATAATTCTTCATTTATTTATCAAACATTAAAAATTTTTTGATTATTGTATTATGTCTCTCTATAATTTAATAATTGGATGACAAGTTTATTATATGTAATACCGTAAACTTTTACTTTTATTTTTTATATAAAACAATGTAAAATTTTAATTAATGATAAACTAATAAATGATAATTTAATATTTATAATAATCTTGCAAGTAATTACGACGTTGCTGTAAGAAAGGAGAAATAAACTCCAAAAGTGTTATGTGCGAAAAGAAGAGTGCTCCGAAAGCATTTGAATAAATCTCTTTTTAAAACTCTCTTCTCTCCTCCCAACTTTTACGTCTACAGCTTGGAGGTTTCAAGAAGATTAAACAAAAAAACAGTAAACAAAGAAAATAAAAAGGAAAGGGTATCGTGAAAAGTGATGTACCGTGAAAGATCACGTACGCTTATACACGTGCGACATCGATTTCGGCCACCTGTTGAAGAGTCCGCGGAGTTGGAAAATCGCGGCAATTTCTTCTGTCACGAGACGAGGACGGTTCACCAAGTTTCATCGAGTTGATACAGAATAAAGTTCTTAGAATCTATGTCGCGATGCCGCGCGGATTTCTTACGCGGACATGATTACCTACGTAGGAGATTTAGGCCGGTACTACTACTGGGGCTCGCGCATCCTCGAGGGATCCGCGAAGCGAGAAAACGAAGACACGCACGCGGAAAAATATGAAAACCAATCTCACATGCACTCACAAACGCGCACTCAGATCTCTCTACGCGATTGTCCCTCTCTTGTATAATTCATCGCAGTTTCATTCGCAACACGTTCGTCATTCTTCCCCATATAGCACAGATCTCTAAGGGACGTTCTGAAGGACATTCTATAAACGTCCCAACATCCTAAGAATGTTCCCAGGAAGATCTCTAAGATGAAGCGTATTGTATGGGTCTTTCACGGTGGAGCGTCTGTTACACGCGAGTACGTTTGAGCATCATCCAGAATCTAGACTATCCGAGGAAAGCACTTCTCCTCGTGAATTTCGTTATCAATCCATTTATCTATCTCTTATCTTCTTTTTTTTTGACACGCGTAGAGAATCGCTATACGTCGTGCACGTCGTGAAAATCACACGTGTCTCTATTATGCTCGATCTCCCTCGCTGGATGCTCAACGCGTGGTCCAGCTGTACAATGATTGTCGCGACTCATCGAGGGTGCCGGGACCACGATCTCGAGACCGATCTGTCGTGCTCGCTCGACGCTCTCATACTAACGCGATCACCACGAAGCGTCGCGACGCCCCGGCTACGTACGCGCGCTGCTTCCCTGTCCGCGACTGAGACGCGAGAAAATCGGCTTTGAGCCTTCAGGGAAACCGAGGGCGGCTTCGCGCGCAGGCGTATGATCACGTATGATGCACCTATCACGATGTATCTATCTGTAGACGCGGAGATATATTTATAATGGAGTATTTGATGATGTTGATATATTTACTCACGCAGTAAAACCCTTCAAAGGACATCCTAAAAATGTTTAGATGACGTCTAAAGGACGGTCCCGGAACGTCCATTAGATAAAGTATCGTGCGGATAATTTTAAATATTGAACGGAACGTATGTTGCAAAAAAGTGTACATTTTATATAAAAATTATGCATTTCGCGGGTTTTCTCCGTGTCCAGATCCATTCTTGGAATGCCAATTTTTCGTGAACTTTCCAGTCCACTTCATCAGGGCGAGAAGCAGCCTGATACTGCAGCCTGATAGGTGTACATCTTTCCCCCTCACTCTAAAAATATGTACAAATTTAATATCATTTAATAGGTATTAAATATAACTCTTACGTTTTTAACGTCAATCAAATTTTGTAACCAAAAATCAAATTATCATGACGTCAAAATGATGTCATTTTGACTTTCTCTTGACTTGGTGTGTTCCTTGGAATAATGTGAATTTAATATTATGTGGTGTTAAATCTTGATATTTTATATCTATACCAAGATGATAAGAATTATATAAATGTCAGCATGATGTTAAATCCACATTCATATTTTCTAGAGTCCGCGTAATTTTGGTCCATTTTGCACCTCCCTTACGAGCAAGAAAACGACACATATACCATTTAAATAGCGTTATCTTTCATTTGAAAGCTTCTTTCAGTTTTAAAAAGATCTTTCAAATAATTGATGATTTTACTCGAATAAAACGATAAATTTGTGAACCTATTTATAAATGACTTTACTTGGAATATTTTCATTTTATTGAAACCATTTGTTTTTTCGTTTCGTACAAACAAAAAGGATTATTCTTCTATTTCTGTATAACAATTGGTTAATAAATTAAAATAATCTGTAATATAAACAGAAAGGAAAAAATTTTATATAACAGACAAATAACAACCGTATTTTTAGCTCTAATTTTTTATTGCAATATTATTTTGATTATCGAGAGCTCTATGTAAAAAATTGTTTTATCGTCGTTAATAAATTAAAATGAATTTTAGAATTGTATCTGAATAATCTAGTAGGCTAAACCAGATGTGAAGGAACAGAAGTAATCTTACAAGAATTTTCGTAGAATTACTCGCTCTTACATTTATTATTATTGTCATTATGTATGACAATAATAATAAATGTAAATAAATCTTTTTTTGCTTCGCTTGGAATGGAGAACCAAGATGGAAGCAAAAACTACAAAATGCAGCTTCATTAACAGCTTAATTTAAGCGAACTGTAAGGTAATGTGTAGAAGCTTAAAGTCTCTTTTTCTCCGCGTATTTCCGCTTTCCTGTTACCATTTCGTTGTTTTTCATTTGGTGACACAAATCGACACAAATGTCGTTCAGTTTTTGTTACTCATTAAATGCTAAACAAAGACAAAACACTTGTGTCTACTTATGTCACTTATGCTCGCTTTTATAAATATAGTTTAGTTTCCCAAACAACAAAGTCTAAAATTGTGACATAAGACTCCTTTAAGTCATCTTTTAGACGCAAAAAAGTCTTATGACCTGATTTTAGATACTTTTTGTTGTCTGGATTTAATCTCGGTTCAACTAACTCTTCTTTTTTTTTAAGAATTAAAAAAGATGAAAAACAAGTTATACTTTCTAGGAATATTTCGATTTATTTTACGAGAAAAATTGATTTTTCTAACTATTTTAAACTAATTTTGTTAAAAGAATCATTTCTTTTTAATTATTTCAAAACGATCATTTTATAAAAAATTTTTAGCAAATTGATCCGAAAAGAACTTAATTTACATTAGTAGAAATGGACGTAAGTTCTACCTCGTAAAATTAGAAAAAGATAAAGAGTAAGTTAAACCGAAATTAAAATTAATTTTACATTAGTGGAACTGTGGGCCTAAATGGAAAGCACTCTCATTAGTTTTAGTAAATTACGGCCAGTTAAGCCAAAAAAACACACACACACACACACACACAAATATTTATTCCGCGTAAAATCACTATGTTTTCGTGATTTATCACGATCTACTTCATGCCACGTGCAGTAGTCGAGAGCTATGTCAAGGTGGCGGCCAAAAATACTTGAGATTCTCGCAAGTCCAGGAGTGTACTCCAGAATCTAATAAAGTCGAAATGAATATATATTCTTCTCGCGCAAAGGTCCACTGGTGTGAATTCGGTTTCGGGACGAAGAGAGAACAAAGAAATTTGTGCGGCAAATTTGCGTGGGAGAAGAGAGATTTCCTGTTTGCATCTTATTGCGGAGCAATTCTTTGACTCGGATATGCTCATTTGGATGAGCGGATTCCTATTACGAGATATGCCAACTATTTCACATTCGTTCCGCGGTGACAGTGAAATATGGGATTTTATGCCCACGGTAAAGAATTTACGTCGATTGGAATGTTGGGAATAAAAAGTGGCCGAGTCGTATAATACCCGTATTTCGTATGCACCGCCATCAGGTTGATAATCGGGAATCCGTACATTACGTTGCAATGCCGAGCGAGCGTTGGTTGAAAATTCGCTGGTTATTCGTTAGAATGCAGCACGCGACAGAGTGGTAAAGCTGCGCGCTTTATTATATGACATATATTGTTCGACTACTTGAACTTCGCGTCGATAATTAAATTAGAGATAAAATGTATTTTTAAATGGAATCAATGATATATGACCTTTTTTTATTTCTCGTGAAGAGATAATAGCGAAATTTTTAAGAATAGTAAATAAATATTGAAAGTAAAATGTCAATAAATGGAAATAATTGTACGAGCGTAATTTAAATATTTAAGAAACGTAAATATAATAATAATAGTAAGCAAATAAAGTCATCGGTTTTGATGAATAAATCTAATAAATTTGATAAGGATAATGATTATTTTTTATTTTCTTAATAAATAATTTATACGCTATCACTCGGTGTTGGCTCTTATTGGCATTTTTCTCTTCGTAAATATAATAATTACGAAATGTATCAATACGTAATATATTCTTGTTGCTACTTTTTTCGTAATTCATAATGTAACAATAAATATAGTGATATAAGGTCTACTTTGTTCCTTCCAGAAATCCAATTTAATACTGAAAATTATTTATTTTGAGCATTAAAAACACTGAAGATATAATATTTTTAATACTCAAAATAAATCATCAATCACTACTTTTCAATATTAAACTTCTGTAAAGGGATGTTTCTGATCAATATATGACAAAAAAAATTATTTGCAATTATTTACAATTTACAAAAGCACGAAGCATTTTTTGATGTTTTCGGAGTACTGTATATATGAATTTATGCTACAAATTACATTATATATTTAACTGCGTGATAGAGATGAATCAAAGGTTACATGGATAAACGGGAGACACGGATGTTTTCATAAAAAAATAGTGCGATTATAAAATACAGTAATTTATTAATAATTAATCATTTATCGTCAGCGTACTCATCATGATAAATTAAAACTTGTAGATATTTCATCTTCTTCACTATACACTACACGTTTTGTCACATTTGTCGCGCAGCTTACAATATACAGGTCTCGGTTTTATCTATTTTGCTATTTATATATATATGTATATATATATATATATTATTTTCTTTATATATTACATTTGATTATATATATATATGCGCACGTATGCACACCTTTCTTTGTCATAATATCATATCGCGGCTCCATACCGCGACTCCTTTTTACCTTTTACAACATATCGTGCATCATATAATTGTAAAAAGTAAAAGAAAGATAGTGCGAGGGAAAGAGATTGCGGTCGATTTTCTACACGGAATCGCATAGAGAGCGACGGACTGTCGACGACCACCGTGGTTTCCTTTCTTTTTTCCTTTCTTTAATCGATACAAGAGAAAAAAAGACACTCCTAACAATAGGATACATCCAATCGACGTACGCTCGAGTCGCGGAACATTCAGTTAAAATCGCAATTGCATATTAAACTAGTTGGAGAACGTTGGCAGAAAAAGAAAAGCAGTAGGGACGATACATGATTAATCTTTAAATTAACATTACGCTTCTCGTCTACGGTTAATTCGTAAAGTATGTGCACTACTAATGCGTCGTGATATCTTTGTTGATTGGTCATAGGTAAGGCCGAAAAGCGGATCTCGGAACGCGCGGGGACCCCTCGGCACGACACGATTTGATTTACGGCAATATTCTTCAGACGCTATTTACATTGTATAATATAATAAGTATAATCGCGCGCGGGTCACCGCCGACCGCGTGTCATTCCGAACATCCGCCGTTACGCCTTCCATCTTGCTTGAAAATCCTAAAACGACACGACGTTAACGGCACACATTTGTCGCTTATGAGGAATAGAACAAAACCGTCTCGAATCCGAGAAGGATCACAGATTTGTTTTCTGCGCGCGCGAGAGAGAGAGACTATTCCACTTTTTTACGAGATGAAAGGAGATACTTCGAGCTCAATAAATAATAGTGACACTATCATCTGGTATATGTTAGTCCCTAGCACATTAATTTTCCTATAAAAAATTCGATACGAAGGCACGAAACGTCTGGGAAAATGTAATCGTGACGGCGATTTTTCGTACGGTTCTTTCGTATCACCCGGTGCGCTTCGTTATTGCGGGCGTCGCATTGGCTTAATGATATATCAACTTATTTTACAACTTTGATTATTACAACTTAAGAAAAAAAAGAGTAATATGTAAATAATTGTATTTGCTAATCTGCATACATATAACGCCTCTAGCGTTACGTCACGTATCATCACTCGTGAAAATAAATAACAATCGCTTCCATGCATACACATAATTACAATAAACACTCTGCTCTTCCGCACATTTAACGCTAATTCTGACCCGGTCGTTACACAATTTCCTAATACTAAATCCAATATTGGACACGATCGGATGTTCAGCGTTAAATTCACGATGAAAATAATAGCAGCCTTGTATGCAAACACACGTGTATATGCTACGCGTTATACATTTGCGGAATATTCCAAGCGTTCTGTGATCGTCAGAGAGTTTAGGATAGCTATACATACTTTCAATGTTAGTGACTGAAAAACAGAGTGTACAGTAGCGCCAAATACAGCCGTCGTGTAGTCGGAGGAGTTTATCAAGGAGCAAGTTACGAGTACCTTTAAGATTTAGTATTCTCAAAGACTCTACTAGACATTAAAGAATCTGAAGACATCCTGCTCTTCTATAGACTCGAAATCTCTGTATTCTTACTCTCTAAATAAAATTATCTTCTCTGTGTGACGCATGAAAATTCTTTGTCTACTAAAGGAAATTACGTTTGAATCTATTCTACGATATACACAGCATTTGAAAAGGATGAGAAGCGAGAAGAGGAACATAATGTCGTTCTGTCACAGCGGGTCATCTGTGGAGATTTAAGTGGTGAGAGTTAGGAGGTAAAATATTATTGTAGAAAACGTGACTAAATGTGATTCTGCTAAAATTATGCGACGGACGTTCATAGTAAAGTACAAAAGAAGCAAGTGTCACAGTGTTGTGTTTCATTTGTACTATATAGAGACATTAGAGACAGAGCAGCGGAAGTCCCTGCAATGTATACGAAATATTATTTTCGTTATAAGAGATACTACTATTACGGAGCTTACAAAATCTGGCGGAGTCTACCACGTAGGCAAAGTACTCGCCGAGTACCTTTGGTAATTTCCGCCGGGAACAAGTGGTCGAAGACTCGAAACCATTCTGCTTTCTTTATAATGCAAATTTAGTATTTTTCTTGGAACTCATAGTAACAGCTACGGTGGCAGGTTAGAATCATTGTGAATAAGAAAAATCGCTTGATGCAATGCAGAAATTTGTGCATCATAGATGAAAAAAGAAAGTATAAGATTTTGCGTTTTGATGACTCTGACAAGCTAAACGAATGCAACTAACGCGAAGAGTTTACACTATACGTTATAACGACTAAATGGATAGTGTCTCTCTAATCAATTTCTTCATGGTGTTGCCCATCGTGGTGGTCGACGGACTAGAAGTCGTGAAAGACAATTTGAAGAGATACGGTTGTATATCCGGGTACGAGGTATCGAAGATCAGATCCAGCTCGGCCTGACTTGGCACTTTTGGAATGTAATCGTGCCGATTCATGACCTCGGTGATGTAAAGGATCTTGTCGGTCAGCAGATCGCCCACTTTTTCTCGACATATCTGCCGTTCATGCTCGGTGGCCAATTTGATAAGTTCAAGGCGCACAGTCCACACTTCCCATGGTATACATTCCGGTTGAAACGGCCAGCGACTCTTTTTCCTCTGGAAGAATTCTAGGGATATCTGACCGGAACCTGGACTATCGGTGGAGCGCAGCGCCTCCGAGAAACCCGATATCTCACGCTTCAGCGTCTGATCGAGGTGCACCGACGAGCAGCAGACGTAAGTGAAATCAATGAAGTCGCAGTCCACGTCCTGGTATCCTACAGTGCCCACCGAATAGCTGCCTTCCTGTTTGTACTTGAATTTGCCAAGGCTCCGATGAAATAGCACGCTGTGGAATATACTTGCCACTGCCTCATCCACCTGACGTCCCTCCATGCTCAATTCGAACAGCTGCGTCCTGGCATTCATAGTGATACCTGTGGAACAATTATCATGCCAACAATCTCTGACAATGTGTTTAATAAATAAAATACATAAAAAATAAGAAATAAAAAATTATTATCTATATGTCTATAAAAGTCATGAAAAGGAGTTGCAGAATTAAATTATACTAAATCAAAATGTTCTATTATCGTCATCAAATATTTTATGATACAGTCAATAGTATAATGCCAAGGACAATTACATAAAAATAAGAACAACAAATAAAAGGAGCATAGAAGACAACATTGTGTTAACATAAATATTTTAAATATAAGACTTTGCACGAAGAAGATTCTGTGTGTGGCTTCTATGCTCCTTTTAAATTTCTATCTCACATGGATAAGGAGATACAAAGAAATGACTCATAGTACTCTCATCATAACAAAGGGAAATAAAAAAAACAAACAGTGAAAGGTTGACTCTTTCGACAAAGATCTGAAACACATGTCTGTCAAGTCATCATTAATTTAAAGAACACGGCAATTTTCATCAATCAGACCGTTACAGTCATGCAAGCCAGCAAGCCTAACCTCAAATCCATTGAGAATCTAACGAACTGAAGCATGCACGATGCATTGACGCACGTGGGCGACGAATGAAATTTCAAAATCGGCTGAGAATGTAAAAGAAAAGCAGGGATCGACACGATGACGTCGGTCTTGCGGCCGATTGTACTCTTCTCGTTCGCGCTTTTTACGTAACGAGGCCTCAGGACGAAAAGACAAGGGAGAGGAGGAGAAGAGCCATGCTCTACTAGGAAAACAACTTATCGCCGAAGGCGCGAACTAACTTTGTCGCTCTTTCCCCTTGGTATCGAGGCCACTCTCTCGAGATCGCTCCGCCTCACCGCCGTCGTCCTCGTCGCCGTCCTCGTGCCGTGCGATGGCGGACGAAACTAGGTTAAGTTTCACGCGTTGATCTGGTGACTTCTGCCGCCGTGGGTACCGCTACCCTCTTCCATCGAGTCCGTTTTCGCGCGTCCCGTTCTTTTCACGACGCACCACCACCACCACCACCACCAGCAACAACAACAACAATACAACCACTATCACCACCACCACCACCACCACGGCCGCCGTCGCCGCTGCCACCAGCACTGCCACCAACTCCGCCGTCGCCGCCTCCACCGCCGCCACCACCACCGCCGCCGTCGTCGTTGTTGTCGTCAACGTCGTCGCTGTCACGTTCTCGTCACGTCGCCGTCACGTCGCTCGCGCAACGAGTTACTCCGACCTGTTCATTCGTCGACAATCTTCCATCGTCCCCGACCAGTCCCGACGACGGGGAGCCCAGGCCGCGCTTGTCCTCTTTCAGCAGCAGCCGCGGCAGCAGTATCCAGTTAAGTCAGTGGCCCGCTCCACACGGGTTTGTGGGTAAACAACAGCTGTGATCGTGGCACACGCCATCTTGACGCTGCGCCGCTGATTCGCGCTTCGATACCTGGCCCCGCGAGGGCTCCACGCACTCCGTCCCGGATGGTGGGTCCCGGAGCGTGTATATCTTGACGACTCTCTCTGCTTGACTCCGCGCGCGACGACGTCGGGAATACGGGATCAACGGGAAATTCGAAGATTGCCTGGGATGGCCGACGAAGGCAAAGAACTTTCTCTCTCTCTCTCACTCTTACGCACACACATACACACTCTCTTTTTCTCTCTCTCCTCTTTCTCTCTCTTTTGCAGAAGAAAACGATCGTCACACGACACAACGTTTGATTAGACTTCGATTAGACGTTACGGATTACCGAGTCAGCTGTGACGATCTGTCTGCCTACTCTCCGGGAATCACTCGCCTGGTGCTACATCATGAAATCACGCGACGTATACCATGTACGAAACGACACAACGTGGATCGATTGACGTCTTGCGTCAGAGCCGGACACAGACAGTCTGGCACTGGACAAACTGGACTAGATCTCCCACTCCGCTCCGCTCTGCTCCGTACTTGTACTCTGTACTAATCCAATCTACGATCTACGATAAGTCGCACACCGGATGTGTGCGTTGGTGTGCGTCGCGAAAACTGCCGCGCGACGCCTCGCGGTGAGATCAGCGTCACACGTGCGCAGTTGCAAAAGGCGCGAAACGACTTCGCTTCCTGGAAATCTCGTGAATCGACGCTTCGAAATCCCGACGCTTGCTTGATCGCGTTTTCGAGTCGCCTATTGGCTCGTCGACTTTCACCTTTTGAGACATTTACTCCGATATCGTTTTGACAAATAAGGTTCGTTATCAGGTGACTTTCGCGATATTCTATTTATTCTGACCTCTTTAGCGATAGATTTTCTACCTTCGTGTTTAGGGCTATATTTAGAGATGTGCGATCTCCGGATCGATTCGCAAAAAATCGACTTTTTGCAACAAGATCGCTCCGAAATTCCTTTTTGTTTAAAAAAAAAAGCGAAATTAATTCCTAAAGAAATCTAAGCAAATCATCATGTCAAACTAAGAACATTATTTCTATTTTAACGAGATTTATTTTTCGACCTATGTTTTTTGTGTATTCAAAATCTTCAATTTTTTTAATATGTAAAATGATAATTAGAGTTGATCTATCGAAAAAAAAAACAAAAATCCCTACAAAAATGTAAATTATTTATATTATTAGAACAGAATATCTCTCTTATCTTAATGAAATTTATTTTTCGAGCTACATTGATTAAACAATTTTTATTTCTCTTAATGAATACTATGCGTTTTTAAAGCTTTGATTTTTTAAATTGGTAAATTGAAAGAGATAAATCGAAATTCATCTGTTTATTTATCTAAAAAATCATATAAATTCATAAAACAATTTATTTGTGTTACCAAGACAAAATATCGTTTCTATCATAACGAAATTAATTTTTTTATCTATATTGATTAAACCGCTTTTATTCCTCTCGAATACCATATATTTTTAAAGCTCTTTTTTAAATTTAAATTTTTGATGATAAACAATTTCACTGGAACAATTTAATTTATTATGAGCTGATCTTCCTCGATTGCTTTTATCGTTACAACCAGTAGCGATATCTGTATATCTCGGACATATGTCGCCTGAAAATAGTGCGATGGAAATTTTTAAGGATAGTCAGAAAATAGTGAAGAAACCATCATCTTTCGTTTATAAATTTCCGAAATCTATGTATGTTGTTGTAAAGATATGTCAAGCGATACGTTTAGTGTCGGCCGATTTGTCGCCGTGTGGGATCTATTATTTTAGTATTAGGTTTACACAAAAGGCCCTTTGCGTTGTTTATTTTACTTGAACTTCTTTATCCTTCTTACCTTACCGCGGATTTCCTCTCCGCTGTTCCGGATGCTACTCAGCGTTTCTCCATCAAGAGACATCAGTCTTTTTTTTATAAAATCACAAAGCGGTCACGGACGACATAAAATATAATTAAAATGATATTATAAAAATATTTTCAATCGAAGTACCAAAGATATTCTTTGTGGCGAATCTTTTATTTTAATAACTAATTTTAATTATTTAAATATTGCATGAAAATACTTTCTGCTGATAACATAATATATAAAATATAACAAAAATATATCAATATATTTTAGAGATGTATAAAAATACTTTTTTTGTACGTTACTTTCATCAATCATTATTTTGCAAGCAATAAATCACTGTCTGCGTTCAGCGGAAAAAGCAGCTTTGCAACTGTTGTAAAATTCTTTAATATGATTGAGCTTGGTCTTGATTTCTCACTAGATTTAAAAATATATATCATTCATAATAAAGAATCTTATACAACAGTTATAAAGCTGCTTTTTCTGAATGTAGCTATTAATAGTTTATGATTGTCTATCAACAGGTGCCCAACTATCGCCTTTAATTTACTGTATCTTTAAAACAAACCGTAGTCGATTCATAGTTTTAAAAAGCTCTTTAAAGTACTGTATCTTTAAACTAAAACGGTTTTTTTATAAATAAAAATTTTTTACTTTCTCGAAACCACCGAATAAATTTCAACAATAAAGCTTGCCGACACAATTTTGCTACGCTCTGTACATTGTTAACAATCTAAATTAGTATAATGTTAACAATCTAAATTAGTAAATGTTGCACTAAATAATACAAAGAGAGTTTTTGAAAATCTTAGAAACATTTTTATTGGACTAGTTAACATACTTTGGTATCAATCATGATTATAATATTATATGATATTGCAGTAATTGAGTGTATGAAACAAGGAAACAGTCTCTTCGCGTAATGCATACTACCCTTTCATAGAAGATATTGCATTAAATAATACAAAAAAAAAGTTTTTGAGAATCTTAGAAACCCTTGCAGAAAAATACTGGAAGGTAGTGATATTAATCACTTATTTTGGATTTTATAAATTGGTCGGTATTAAATTGGATTTCTGTAAAAGATTTTTATTGCACTAGTTTTAACATGCTATATGTAGGATAATGCAAATAAATAGAGAAACGCCAAATAAATATATGATATTCCTTCGCGGGAGATATTGAACTAAAATAAAATTATACTAAATTCTCGATTTTTATAAAATCTTTCCTTTATAAAATAAAACAAAAATGATTTTATTAAATCTTATAAAACCGTATATATGAGAAACACAACTTATAGAAATCAATTTTGTCTATTTTACCCGTAATTGTCATTTTTATTTATAATTTTGATTCATTCAGACTTTTAAAATATGCATAATAGAGGTTTCTTTGATATGCAAAAAAATGCGTACGGTCATGAACATATATTATTTCCTTGTCACACAAGTGGAGATGCATCCGTAATTATACATTAAGATTAAATCAATAAATACTAGAGTAAGGCACTATGGAATAAATAAGGCGTGAATACACGAATAGCACCGTCGTGTAATCCAGCTGGTAGTCGCTCTTCGTAGATATCGCTCGCTGTAGTTAAGTTCTGATTGGATTGTCAGATTTTTTTTGTTAGTAATAAGAGAGCTGTTGCTCCTGATTATGGCGTGTGGACACGCCCTGATGACCTGAATGATGGAAGTTTTGGATATCATGAGTTACTTGCTGTCCTCGATACTGATTACAACTCGAAGACGTCGAGGAGGACACGTTGCAACTGTTGTTCATAAGCGTGGTTGTGTTGTTGCTTTGAATAGCGAATGGCCATGACTGTAATTAAAATCATTCTTGTACCGTATTGTTGACTCAAATATTTAAATGCCTTGATTATGAAGTAGATCGCGATACGCATTGTTGACTTTTTCGATTATTATTAAAATTGTAAAATACTGATTAATTATAAGTGTCGGTATATCGATAGTGTATTGTAAATTAGACATTTATTTATGTATTATCACGAGATCACACTTTTTTTTTAAATATCAACTCAAATTTATTTGAATCTACATAAAAATATAATTTAAATTTACATAGCAAAATAACATTTTTAATAATTTTACGGACAGAATAACGTTCTTTGATCTTCGCGAAAGGAGGGCAACAAGAGACCAACTATTTCGCGGCGGAAACCGGTATGCTTCTTTAAACAACGAAACTAACTTAGAATTAATGGTAGTAAAGGATGGGTGGAAGGTTTTGGAGTGATTCGATCCACCTGGACAGACATAAACAGAGTAGATGACTGCGAAGACGGCGCTCGCGACTCCGAGTGGATCCACCTGGTCTCTGTGTTATTTTACGGAATCGTTATCAAGTCGAAAGTCTGATCGTAAGAACGAGAAATAGTTTGGAAATAACTCGCACTTTAGATTCCCGTTAAAATTAGATAAATCAACAATTTTGCTTAATCCTACATTTTGTGGAATGCAATTTGAATGGAATTTGTATCAAAAAATAACAATTAGATTCTTTATGAAAAAGATCTTGAAAGGTACTTGACACTTAGATTTTTTAGAGTCTCTTTTAGTTAAATCTACCTATTTTTTTTTAACAATTTTCTGATTAATGAGTTAATTGTTAATTAATGAACAAGTTTGCTTGTTTACTGTACTATACATTTTTTAATATTAGTACGCATAAAATTGTTGTTATTAACGTTACTTAAAGTTAACTGCAGTTTCATAAAATAAAAAAGGAGGAAAACTTGCTCAAACTTTAATTCTAATTTTAATGAAAATAGAAATGGGCACTCACCAAAGCCAGCGATAAGGATTTCGTGGTTTCAGTATGAGTTTCACCGTCATCTCGAAGTACTGCTCTTAGATGAGCAATGTATGTTGCGGCTAAACGCAACGTATCTAGTTTGCTTAATTTACTATCGGCTGGTATCCATGGCAATGTTGTCTTTAATCTACAAAATGCCTTGCTCAATATTCTCATTCTCGCACGTTCACGGGCATTAGCAGCGTTTCGCGGAGCGCGACTGTCCATGTCGTCCTTCATGTATTTTTCCTCAGAAGGATATTCCTCCAACGACGATGTCGAAGCGCGCCGTTTTCGAGGCATCCTACTGTATAATAACAGTTACTGTTAATTAATTATTAGATAATTATATTTTGGTAAATTGCGAGACACGTAATTATTATCGCGTAATAAAGAAGATTTTTTATGAATTAATCAAGAAATGATTCCAACTTTTTTCTTTATCATATTAGAAACTTCTATTTTATTTCTTTGAAAAATAGGATTTATTAACACGTCTCTTTCCTTACGTTCCAGCCAAAAAGTATAAGATAATTATCCATTGAATAGAAAGTACTGAAGTTCTTACTTTTCTCTTTTATATTGAAAATTTAAAATCAGACGAATCGAACTATACAGCAAAGCTATGTGTTTTCCTATAATTATTATAATAATCGATAAATAATGATTGCAAAAACAATAAATGATCAATTATAAGCGAAGATAATATAATTACATCGAATGTGAAGCTTTACTTCTTTGTGCCGTATTATTTTTACAGTAAAAAATTACATAAAAATTTATGTGTAGCTCAATTCTATTTATTACTTTAGATAAACGCTGAAAGTTAGTCTATCATTTTCTTTTTCATTTTGCATATTTTATTTCGCAAAATCTGAATCTAATAAGGAAACTTTATAAATTGCGAAGTGAAATGTATTTTGTGTTACGAGATTGAAAGAAAAAAATTATTTACAACATCAATTTAAATATCAGTTTGGAATTAAAAAATTACTTTTAAGAAATAGTTATTTTTAGCAGTTATTTAAGAACAATAATCTTACAATTAGTAATAATAATTTTGATTATTGTTTAAGTCTGCACTTGCACACGTACAATTCAACTTTTAAAAGCACAAAACTTTGTTCTATGTTTTTAACACTGTCATATGTAACAACAATAATACTTGTAGTAACACAGAAATTTTTATACAAAGAATCACAAATAACAAAGTCTGTAATAACGGAGCCTCTAATATGATTATTAATTTAACTCAACTATATTATAATAAAGATAAAAATTCAAAAACCAAAGTAGAAAACCACGCTATATCACTTTGTGTATTATGAAGAGTACTATAAGAATTATTTTCTTTTTTTAATTGCTACACTTAGAATATTAGTTTGTTGATGTTCTCGTCGTTCTCATATGCCTCCAAACTAATAATTCCAGCACAATTAGTATGCAACTTGTTCGATACCTATGATCGATTATTCCTTTTTTTATTCACTATCACGAATCTATTAACAGGGCCCTCGCAACAGATCGCGTCTATGGTGTGTAACTAATTGTTAGTCAATGTTCTTAGAGCACAGAAGCTGAAGGCTGGACCGGGTGGAGCAACGCAAATACGAAGAGAATGAGACAAACAGAAGATATGTTCGTTGGAGGGACGCAGAGATTTGGGACGTCCCGAAAACCAGGCGGAGCTTTCGAACATCAGACCCTGTGTCTCATTCGCCTCATCTCGTTTTCCGAGATGCTGCTCGATCCAATCCGCGGGAACATTGCGGCATTCGTAGCCACCTGGCACATCCTTCCTGGTTTTCTTCCTTCTTTCTTCTCTCTCTTTCTTTTTCTCTCTCTCTCTCTTTCTCTCTCTCTTTCGATGAAAGTGCAAAGAAGAAGAAACCAAGACTTGTATTAATATCTCATATTAAAAGCAAATGATTTTGAAACTTTTTCACATGAATTTTTAACTTTTACATTGGTGACGATTTCCGATTTGTTGATTGAATTCTGTGGTTTTAATTTTGACACATAATGTAATCGTAAAATAATATTAAAAAGTGTATTAACCGTTTAACTCTCTCTAGATGTTAAATTGGTCTTACAATAAATAGAATCGTACATTCCTATTTATTCTATATTTTGATTTAGACGATATTAAAAGATATCAGAAGATATCACCTTCAAAGATTATCTACTAAATAAGCAATATTATTTATATATAGAATGACTTTGATATTTTACCAAATATCGAAGATTTTAATTTCTTATCGTCATTAATGCACTTTATTCTTTAAGATAAATAACTTCTTAAGTTTTTATATTAGTCAATTTAACAAAGAGAGGATGCTCCTCAAGGATATTCTCATAATTATAATATGTGTATGATATCCTATACTAAAAACTATATTAAATTTTTTGCGCTTCACTTCCTTCGTGAATCCTTCGCGATAATATCCTGAACTCAGAGGCTATATTTAACACTCGATTGAAATAATTGTACGATTGAAGTAATTATACGATTGAAATAATTATCATGTAATCGTCTGCACGAGTACATACAGTTGCGTAATTGTTGGTGCATTGGATTATATTAGCATGTAGAACTTCTCGCGCATTCAGAGAAACTGCGATAGAATTTAGTACGCGTTAATTACTATAATATTACTAATATCTAACAATGACTCCAAATTATACTCTATAGTCTATATGACTATATTTCCCCAGGACACGTTCGTTCTTCATCCTCATTTATTCAGACTTTCGCTTTGAAGGGAAGGGTCGACTAATCCATAATCCATCGCAAATCCCCGTCAACCGGCAGTCATCTATTTCGTCGAAATTAGGATTCGAAATGGATCCTGTAATATGAGGTTTGCGGTGGCCCCTGCTGATCCTACTTAGAATACTGAAGAAGGCGTTAAGTTATTGCTCGACAAATTCATGAAAGATATAGGGCAATTTGACACTTTCCGACCTTTTTCTCACTAACTTGTCTCATGGAATCATTTAAAAGATTTGTAACAAATTGTGAAAATGGTGTACTCAACACCTAGTTTAAGTAAAAAAAGTTGTGGACAGATTTAGTATCTCCTCTCTTTTATTAATATTCTTTGAAAGATTTAATATCGATCCTTTTTAATGAAAATGCAAAGGATTATTTTATAGATATTATAATAATATTGTACATCTTTCTTCGTTTAGAACAGTAATAATTACAATTGCGCTTAAAATACAATTAGGATTTAAGCTGCTTTCCTTTTAGGAGATACTGTCGATACAAATATATTATTTTATCAATAAAATACAATAAATTAATTAGATTGTTGGACTCCTTACGCTTCAATCAAAATGCATACATGTCAAGGAGCGATTTTGGAATCAGCGCGGTAAACAATTGCGCAATAATCGATTATACGATTATACGAAGTATATACTTAGTATAATCAATTATTACGCGTTGTTTACCGCGCTCCAAATCGCCCTTTGACATATATGAATTTTGATATTATTCTATCTTATTCATTGAATTCCAAGGTATAGAACATTTGTGTCAACTATATTTCTTAAAAGGGAAGCAGCCTCAGTTAAAAATACAAATACAACGTGAGAGCAAAGTAAATGTTATCTTTACATCAAATTATATCACCTGTTTATCTTAAAAATATTCTACCATTACTACCAAACAATTCACTATTTTATTGTAATTTCACGTTTATTGTAATTTAACTTATATATATGAATTATATACGTATACTAAATAATTAAATGAAAATTAAATGCATATATATGAATGATATATATGAATATATGATAAACAAAATTAATTATTTTAGGTCTAATTTATGTGGCCTATAATATGCATTATTAGAATTCAAAAGAAAATTCTATTTATAATTTTATATACTGTATAATACGAAAAACATTTGAGAAGTTTACTAAATTACGTATAAATTATACATATTAAATATCGCATATATATTTTATATATACAATATATATAAAATATATATATGCGATATATAAAGTTTTAATTTAAATTCTATTTTAAAGTTTGACACATTATGAATTACAGATATTTTTAAAAGAACAAAAATATTTCCTTAAAATTTATTGATGTTTGACAACTTCTATACTTTTTTTTTTGCTATATTTTTAGAAGTTTTTAGAAGATTTATGTCTGTTTCCACCAACGTAGATTAACTTTAATCTCGATTCAACTTACTCTTCGTCTTTTCCTAATTTTAAAGATTAGAAAAAAACGAAGAGTAAGTTGAACCAAGATTAAAGTTAATCTACGTTGATGGAAATGGGCATAAATGGAAGAATCTATACAAGAATCAATGGAAAATTCTTCCTTTTAATCAGAAAATATTGTTAAAAAACCAACAAAAAAATCTTTTTTCTATTGGATGAAAACTTTTCGATACAAAATTCAATTTTAATCCCGATCAGGAGAAATTCGACAAGTTTAATTCGTACGAACGAACGGCGCGACCGGCGCGACATGATCGCGGTAACTTCACGTCGTATCTTCTCAGTTCGCTGTAAGATGGTGCTGATTGTATCGAATAGCGCGACGTGCGTATTTGCGACGGAGTTGAACGAAGTCAACTAGTCAAGTCGAATCGAGTCGAGCGTGTCGCGAGGTACTGTGGTCCCTTTTTCCCCAAGTGTTGCTCACGGATTTTTTGGACAGCCGCTCCACGCCCGTGCGTGTACGTGCGAGATCGATTTAGGTCCACGCCAAGGGCCGAGGACGATTCATGAACGCGGCGACGATAACGCCGTATTCGCCGCTGCAATCTCGATATAACATTTCCGGAAGGCGAATCAGCGTCCGCTCGCGGAATTTTTGGCACTGACGGCACGCCGTTTAAAAGAACGTGAGTCACGAAATCGTATTAGGTACCGCATTTAATTCCTTTAGAAATCTATCTTCGTTGATTGAAGAGGTTAAGTTTTGCGACGTTGACAGTATAGGAGGAAGTGCGGTAATTTGATAGAATTTTTAATTGACGAGGCTTTTCGGAGCTCGCTTTGTTCTAGTGGCTTTGTTTGAATATTGAACAAAGAAACATCAGTATATAAAAAAGTTAATAGTTTTTATTTTTTATAAAATATTGTGTGTAGTTTATAATAAAATAATTGAAATGTAAATTATTTAAATTTAATTCTTAATTAAATATTAGTTACCATCTATGGCATGCATTTAACATTCTATGAATATAATTTTAGAATTATGAAATAAAAATAAAATAAAATAAATAGTAAAGTTTTTATATATCTTATAAATGTTAATTTTATTATTAAAATAAATACATATTTTTAGATAATATTTTTAGATAAATACATATTTTTATTATCTATTTGCAGCTATCTTCTGTAATAATCTATATTTAAACATGTCAGAAGAACATCAGTTGCCTTCTGATTCAGATGAAGATGATGAAGATTATGTTCCTGGTGGCGCTGATAGTGATCCAGTGTCTGAAGTAGAATCTGAAGGTGATATTGAGAGTGGTCCAGAGGATGAAAATGATGAAAACAAAAGAGAAACTGGAAAGAAAGATGCAAAGAGGTCTAAGAGTCGAAAGAGTAAAAAGGCAAAGCGTAGAAAGACTTTAGAAAAGTCCAAAGTATCAGAAGAAGAAAGTAAAGAGGAAGAAGAATGTAAAGAGAAAAAAGAGCTCACTGAAGAAGAAGAAAAAAAGAGAGCAGATTCTCTTTGGGCTGATTTTATGAAGGATACAGGTTTGTATAAAAAATTATAACACAATGAAATATTACATACAATTACATTACATAGTTACATAATATGTAACAGGAAGAATTTTTTTATTACATTAAACAGCTCAATAAGTCATTTATTTTAAAACACAAATTATATATTATATCTATAATGTCTACAATACAATTTCTAAAGATGCATTTGAGGATTTTTTTGGGCTTAATGCTATTTATGATATGTTCTTTTCAACTGAACTTCTTGCACCGTTCATTTTTTCTCATTTTCTCTTCAATATGGAGAAAAAAGAAGAAATTCGAATGGTGCAAGGAGTTCAGTTGAAGTCATTTAAACGAACAGACTTTTAGAAGAGAGTCAATAAAAGTATATTATCTTATCTAAATGAAATTAGTATAATATCTAAAAAGATTTAAATAACACGTTTATATATATTTTTACAGCTGTTGTATCGAAGTCCAAGCCACAGAATTCAATCAGCAGATCGAATGACAAATCATCACCGACAAATCATCAAAAGCCAAAAGTCCAAGAAAAAGTTAAGATAACTAAGGTTTTTGAATTTGCTGGTGAAGAAGTAAAAGTCGAGAAGGAAGTATCTGTTGATTCAGCGGAGGCCCGATTATCTCTTTCAACAGCCGAAAATTCCGCCGCAAAGTCACCAGAATCCACATCTCCTGCGGTCAAAGAACGTGGACGAGGTGGTATCAGGCGCGTCGGCTTAGGCGGCATCTCTTCGGTTCTAGGACAAATTGGAAAAAAGGCTAAAATTAGTACATTAGAAAAGTCTAAATTAGATTGGGACAACTTTAAGAAACAAGAAAACATTGAGGAAGAACTTAATACTCATAACAAAGGCAAGGACGGATATTTAGAACGGCAAGATTTTCTGCAAAGAGCAGATCTACGGCAATTTGAAATTGAAAAACAATTACGAAATACTAGTAGACGTAGTACGCGGTAAATTCGCATTTCCTCGTTTATATATGTCTCTTCGAGATAGAACATGGAGATAATAATATCGTGGTAGAAGATATTTACTCGCCAACTTGCCAAACTCGAACGCTTGTTGCACACGTTTAGCCTAATTCATTCGAGTTTTACGCTACATTTTGAGTAATGTGAGCAAAAGGAGCGTTGCCTCGTTTGACTCGATAACGTGCTGATTACGATAGCGATCGGTGATTTTTTTGAGGGACCGATTATTCCAGTGTTTTGAGACTCATTTCTCATGTGTACGTAATATACATAATAGCTTAATTTACTCTCAGCGAGCCTTCGTCTCGGCCTGATAATTGCACAGAACTTCGCATCGAAGCAGATTGTTTGAAGCTTTTGACGCTTCTCGAAAAGATTGTGCCCATGTAGAATATATCCATAAAATATTTTTTTATTTTATTTCAATAGAACGCGATACGTTTGCGTGTGTAGTCTGAATATACACGACATTCTAATAATAACGATTAGTCGAACGTTACGAGTGAGTACGAAGGAATATGTGTTTTAGGTAATATAACAAAATAACATAATGACATTTATTGACCTCATTCATGACCACTGCCTTTGGCAATTGTATGTGGAATATTTATAAATGGACCTCTCATAATAGATAGTATATAGATTATGTTGAAAGTTGACAGTTGTGGCGAATTTTATATGTCATCTTTGTCTCAAATTGTTATATAGGAATATAGTTCAACACATATAAAACACAGACATTGTTACTTTTGTGTAATGTATATTAGACAACAATAGGTCTATCCTTTTTCCATATCTTAGGATTAAACTTCTTATATGGTTCATCTTTCTTTTTTTTTTCATATTAGAGAAAAAAAAACAAAAGATGTAAATTGTGCAAGAAGTTCAATTCTGAGGTATAGAAAAAGAACAAGCCTAATATATCGAAACATAACATATACATATACTCAATACCCAATTAACAATTCTTGATTCAGCTCAGGTTACAATTTCCTCGAATTTACATTTTAATGTATCCTCGAAATACATTTTAATGTAATTCCATACAAGGACTGCTTTATGAATTCTTTTGAGAATTCTTAAATAATATTACTGAATAAATTGTCGAAAAGAGAAATGATATTTGATTCTTTTAAAAATATTAAATCCCAGTTGATATTTTCAGTACATCAAAACTTGCAACCAGTCTTAGTAACCAGTATTAAATGTTTTATAAAGATGGCAACATTGCAATATAAGAAACAATGAGGTAAATAATATTAACATTGATTTTACAATTGTTTTCAATTAAATCATGTTATTTATTTTTAAAAATTTATATAAAAATATATATATTCTTAGCAACATTCAGTAAAATTAAATGGATTCGTAGAATTTGCATGTTAAACGAATAAAAGATGATTTTGTATAATATCTTATAGGAGCGTAAAAATATGTAGGTATACAAATACATTTAACTATAATTAGAATACCAATCCATCTTAAATTACTGTTGTCTCGTCACCCATCTAATTACGAAAGCACTAAATCTGTCAATTCCTCTGCGAACAGTGTCTAATCCTCTAATAATCACGCTCTGTTCTTCACTGCAAATGTCGATAATCAAACAAAAGTCGTTAATGAAACGCTATCTCGTTATATAAGAAATACGAATGTGCTAACTTTGGTTTTGCTGCTGATAATTCGCGTGAATGTTTAAGTGCAGATTTCCTCTTGCTGGTCGATGGGCTTGCAGTATATCTACTCACTTGTATATTTTTCTTTGATGTGTTTTTACATGTTACTCGTTTCTTCCTTTTTTGTTCTGCCTATAAAAAGTCGATGATTCGCAGCAGTGTAATTTTTGATATTTTATGTTTAATTTATATCTTCTTTCTTTTCTGTATACATATCAAACGTCTTATTGGATAGTATATTCTTCGATAAAATAAAAATTATTTTTTTAATGTCTTTAATTTCTAATTTAAAAAGTACCTCGTATTTATCGAAAACAAATTTTCAAATTTTCAAATGCTCCATAACAGATAGTTAAAAATTGTTATTCATTTGGAATTAATACAATGTGATTTTTATATTATCTATTAATTAATTTAATAGATTAACGATTAACTTTAACAGAACAGCACTCGCAATGCGAAGGAATTCCATGAGACGACGTGCATTTGCAAGCTCTTAGCTCATCCAAGCTGCAACCTCGCACACAGGCGCAAAGCGTCACGAAACAGTCACGTCTCGGTCGATTGCTTTCTCTTTTCGAAGTCTTTTTATGCCGGCGACGCGATCTTTTCCTCCGCCTCTTGTTCCTCTTCACAGGATCCGTGCTCCGCGAATTTTCGTGCGAATTTCTGCTCTGAGCACCACGATGCTCTGCCAAAAATTCACGGGTGAACAATGCGAATCCTCTGACACGTCAAGTCTAAAGAATTTTTTTAACATGTTTTTTCGTTACCTTTGCGACAGGTACATATTTGCTTTTTACAATCCCGGGAATTGCCGGAAATTTGTCCGAATGTGTTCGTCTTGCTGCACACAATTCAGATAAATGCGATAAAACCGTTACTTTAGCTTATTCAACGTGGATGCGTTCAATTCTTTTAACTCCTTTATATGTGTATACATATATAGATGAGTATGAGCGATAAATGTAATCGCTAAGCTTAAAATGATAATTTTTTGTTGATATTTTTGGAAAAATTTCCATATTTCATTTTGTTATTCTTACATTCTTTTTTATCTTTAATATTAATATTGCCTAACGGTATTAGATAAAGTATTAATATACCAAGATACACCACACACTAAGCTTCTAATATCGCGTGCTGTGTTATTTTAGTGTAGAAAGGAATCTGGTTGAGTCAGTAAGCTGATAGGAAGAAAGGATTCTCAGGAACGTGGGGAAAGCAAGATCGAAATTATTTCACGTAAAGAAGGAAGACTTTGAATTATTGAACATTATTGAATATTAAATTTTTCATCCTACGTCTCACCGTAACTTCTGTGATAAATATGTCGAAGTTGAACTTTCAGAGGTTGACTGCGAGGTTTGGCGTTTTTTGCTAAAAGAAATTTCAAGTTAATGAAATTTATATAAATAAAATTAATAAAAATAAATAAAATTCTAATTTCGATTTATAAATAAAGTTCTACTGAAAGGATCTGATCTACATTTATTGTATTAATATTTATCTAAAATGTTGTATAAATATTTATCGAAAAGTATAAGCCATTAAAATTTCATAATTTATCGCAGAATCTTATCGCATAACTAATTTTTTTCTAAAAAATATTTTAGAAAAATTAGTAATATAAGGCATGAATTATTTAATACTTTTTGTAATCTCTCGATTTGTTAAACGATAAATTCTTTGGGCTATCTTTGGATCGCTTTGACTTCAGCTTCTGTGCTCTTTTATCTCGCGACGTAGAATTGTCTGAAGAACTTCGACGTGACGTTGATGGCGGTCTCGGATCTTTCTCTTTGTCCCTGTATTTACGGCTGCTATCAGCGGTAAAGAAAATACTTTTCAGGTATGTGCACAGCGCGAAGTTAAACTGTGTATACGCCACAACCTTATCGTAAAACGCTACATTTCATGGAGATCCTGCTTGGTGACGCGGCATTTCTTAAAGAATTCGATTGCAACTGTCGGCTTTTTCACGAAATGACTAGGATCCTCACGAGATGCTGCGATTTGTGACAAGTTTACGACAGAGACATTTTCTCCCACAGAGATGACTGATCCACAGTCATTTGGGTTTAATGAACCCACAGGTCCGAACTTAATATACGGACACATTCACATGCATTTATATATCATAGGCCGGTATTCATAGTCAAATCTTATATTCAAGATCGTCTTAAGTACGGTCTTAAGAAGTCACGAACCAATCAGAGGCCGGTATTCATAGTCGGTTCTTATTTTAAGACCGTCTTAAGTAATGTCTTAAGTCGCTAATGCGGCCCTTTGATTGGTTCATGATATCTTAAGACCGTATTTAAGACGGTCTTAAATATAAGATCCGACTATGAATACCGGCCAGGGCGCTGCATTAGCGTCTTAAGACATTACTTAAGACGGTCTTGAAATAAGAATCCGACTATGAATACCAGCCATAGACTTATTTTTATATCCACACACACACACATATATATATATATACACATTTTTGCGAACAATAGTACAATAAACATTTGAGAAAAAATAAAGGTAAAATGTAGTCCACTTTAAGAATAATGAGATACATTAAAAAAAGAATGAACGAATTTATATGCATGTTTGATACAAATGGGACAGGATAACAAAAAATTGAAGTTTATTTTTATTTATAGTTTAATTTTAAAAAAGAGAAAATATATGTGTGACAAAAATAAAATTGGACATTTCGAACGTATTATTACATAATTAAATTTCATAATTATAATTTATTGTATTATTATTCGCGTAACTTATATATAATTTCTTACGTCAATCTCTTTTTACTTCCAATGCACTTTGGATTGTGACATTGTCTCGGCATTTCCGATTCATCCGATCAAAATTTGCATGTTTCTTAATCGACCTGTTGTGATTTTAAAGAATGCTAAGGTAAATAAAATTTTATGACTACATACATTTTATAAATTATATGATATATTACCAGCACAATATTGCATATTTTTCAAGCATTTTTTTTCTTGTTAGGAAAAATTTATCAAATATAATAACCTTTTTATTTTCGTTTCAGTTACGAGTGTTATACACATTTTAGTTTTTTTTTTTCCTATTACAATCGAGAGCAATTGAGAGAAATTTATTCGATTTTTGTATCAAATCAAATTTTAATCTAAATACATAACACAGATGACATTTTCCATCACATCTTTGCGCCTAACTTCAATTAAAGGATGTCAAAAAACGAATGGAAAGGAAACTTTTATCAAATCATAATTTCTATTTCTATGTTTTCATAATTTTATATATCTCATATGTTTCTCATAATGACAAAAATTTCTCATCACGATTATATAAATCTGGTACTAATAATTTGCAGTATTCTTAATTCTGAAATCTTTCTCATTAGATAAAACTTCAATTTTCCAAGAGAATGACGCTGGTTTTGTAAGGAAGTTCGCGGTTATGCTCGCGATGCATGTCGAACATTATCCTCGCCCGCGCGTTGCAACTGGCATTATTGACGCCAGACTGGCGGCCGTTAGTCCGCGGCCTTGCCATCGGCGATTTATTCACCGGTTTGAATATTTTACCGAGCCATTTCTTCCTTCAGCATCAGTTGCATCCATTCCGGATAGCTCGAGCGTTAATTTTTTCATCTTTTTTTAAGCTCTCCACATACCACGTTTTATTGTCCTTTCCCCAAGTTTTTCTTTTTTCTAAGAAACGAAAGTTCAAATATGTATACATTTACATATTTTAATATAATAAAAATGAATATTACAAAAGCTTTTAAAAATACACAAAGAAATTTTGTTTAGAATTTTCCATATATTTTTTGGAATTTCTATATAATTTGATAACTTTTTAAAACATTTCTTAAATTTTTTTGTATGAATTGGAACATATGTTTCAGAAATGCTGAAAAAATCTACATTTTTCTAAAATTCTTTATATGTGAATTCTAAGAAATATTCTAAAATTCTTTATTCTATAATTCCTGAAGAAAATTAATAAAATTTAAAGATGTTTAAAGTATTTTTCGAATATCTTCATAAATTTAAAGTATAAAAAATTCTTAAAAAAGTTAATAAAGATATAAAAAATTTGTACCAATTTAACCAATGCATAAATATAATAACAGAGCAAAGCAAGTGCAAAATATTTGTTGATCTACAACAATAGACTGGTATACATTCACAAACTACGTAATACAACAGAATACTTATTTGTGGCAAAGATACTCTCTTTGCTATATTGTCTTCTAAGAGCTAATGATTTTATTTTAAATAAAATCATCTGGTACATATGTGTTATGAGTGAATTTGAACCCGGATCTGTGGCACAGAGAGCAATCCATGACTCTCTATGCCATGATTGCTACGACACTTTCTTAATTATTCTATACATATATATAAGCACTAATAGTGAACTCAGTGCGCACTGGTGCACATTAAAAGCCGTCGTATACAAAATAACGTAAAGATATGTTTATACATGAACATAGAAATCGATTAAATCCTGAAATACTCAATACATTTTATTGTACTATTATTATAGGTAAAATATGTATTTTATAATTCGAAATATTTGCATTTCACTTTTATACTCAAATTAAATCAGTGTACAACAGCTTTAACATGCACCAATACGCACTAGTTCTTCCAATCAAATTCGCCATAAAATTCGCTTCGTCCAAGAATAATTTTATCTCTTATCATTTATTTTTACCGGTCTAATTTTTATTTATTTATAATTATATATGTGTAATATTTTTTCATAGTATATTTATACAGTTTTTGTTTAACTTAATTCCTTTTAATATTCCCGAATATTTCTTTTGCCAATTCCCTAAAAGCCCCTCCTTGCAAGATCCGTTACTTACCATTCATGGGTTTCTACTCCATAGAATTATGCAGTACCATCCCTCCGAAGTTGTGTGCGTATATGTATTGTGTGTGTGTGTGTGTGTGTGTGTGTGTGTGTGTGTGTGTGTACAGACATTAGTTCGAATACTTAACGCTACGTAGCGCAACATATGGAAATCTTTCTCGTATTAAAGATTCTATCCTGGGCCAATAAAGAGACCCGAAGGAAACCAGAAAAACATACTTACCTGGCGTCGAGGATACCGTGATCATTAAGGCGGTTCCTCCAGGGCGAGGCTCTTCCATTGCACTTCGGTTGGAGCTGACCCTTGCGAATATCCCTAATGTGGATATCTCGGGCGTAAAATTTTTGTTAGTCGGGACTGCGTTCGCGCTATCCCGGAATAATAGTTACAAAAATAATCTACTTAAAGATATTTCGCCAAACTTAAATCTATCCACAAGTCGATATGATTCTGACAGAATCCAACTGTTAATGGTAGGTTAGGGGTAGAGAAATCACGTTTTCAATATGGTGTAATCAGAAAGATTGAAGCATTGCGCATGATGGGATGGGGTGGGGGTGGATGAATTTCGACGAATTTCGACCAATCAAACGCTATCGATATTGCATGGCATCTCAAAATCATGTTGTCTATGATGGAATTATCTACGTTATGTGTGTGACAGAAATCGAGAATGGGCACTAACAGGTATGCCGCTAATTTTAAAACAGATTTATGCAATATGAAACGAAAAGATTATATTTCACAGTTAAAGAGATTGTTAAATAAATAATCTAATAAATTATTTAAATTAAAGTTATTGAATTTTTTAATTTAAATTATTTAATTTTTTATTTTTATTATTTATTTTAATTATTATTTTTTATTTTTATTAAATATATAATAACAATATATTAATTATATATTTAATTTAATATATTAAATTTAATTTTAACATATTTAAATTATACTAATTAACATTTTTAACTAATTATAATTAATCATAACTAAAATTTTTTATTATAATTAATCATAACATTTTTAATAACATTTAATTTTAATATATTTAAATTATACTAATTATAACATTTTTAAAAACATTTTTTTATATAACATCTTATTGTAACGCAATTTTATTACAAATGTTTTAATTTTAGATTTTTCCCTTTATTTTTCTCTGCTTTTAAAATATTTTGCTCTTTAATTTTTAAATTCATATTCCGTAATCGGATATACGTCCTAGTTCTCACTAAATAATGAATTATTGATCGTGGAAATAAATCTTTATTTATTCTTGGAATGTTGTAATCCGTAATCTTGTCGAATATTCCAGATTCTTTATTTAAATCTTTGCTGTGAAATTTAAGAAATTCCTCTTTCATGATTTTGGCAACAGTTTGGAAAGACGGGTAAATGCAGTTACCTCTTGATAAGCACGATAACCAATGTTGCTCACCGAGAGGCTGCATTTTCACAATGGGTAGACCAAGGTAACTAAGTGAATAGCGAAATCGACATGTGACGTAACTAGCTACGTATATCAAAGCTTCGGATTCAATTTTAAGGCATGCTGCATCTTTTTCAAATTCCTCCAATAGTTTCCACTTGTCTACCGTCGCATTATGGATATGGACTAGAATTTCTAATAAAGACAAATATTAATGACAAATATTAGTTATAAATACAATTATAACACAATATAATTTACAATACGATACAACGTATATAACATATACATATAATTGTGTTTACAATACAATTACGTGTATAGCTGATATGATTTTTTTTATGTATAACCGATACCTTCTTCCTGTCCTTTTTTTCTACTTCATGCATCTCATCAGAATTTTCTTCCATTTGCAGCCCTTCTCAGTGACATTTCGATTAACTTTACAATATTTGTAATAATTATTATTTTTAAATTTGCTGTCAATCGAAGATTAGTTTTGTTAAATATCTTTTTCTGACATATCCATTACGATGGAAATGTCTTTGTGTAAATGTTTATTTCAACAAAAATATTTTTCTTAATATATCTATAAAGTATCTTTTTATATGTAATATCTATTAACTATTTTGTAAAAAATAGTTGTTATGAATTAAGAATAATTTACTTAATAGAAAAATCATTTGCTTGAAATGAATAAGTATTATTCGAAAATCATTAATTACAAAAATTTTTTTTAAATTTAAAAATAATTTAAGTAATATTATTTATTTTTTAAAAATAATTTAAAAAATAATTAAATTTTAATAATTTTTGACTGTATGTAAAAATCTTGCTATAATTAATGAATGATTTTCTTTGTAAGAGAACATTTTTCAAATACATGATTTACTAAAATTAAGGAAATTTTTCTGTTTTTTCAGTATATTTTTTCTCAGTGTATATTACAGATTTTCTATACTACATAAATTCAAGAATAAAAGGTCTTTTACCAGAAAACATTGGTACGAATTATTCAAAGTTTTATTTATAATTTATTTAAAAAATGTTTGAATTCACTATTTTTATTGAGCAATAAATAAAAGTATTTAATGATTTAAAATATCGAGCTTCTTTCTCCCAAAGATTTGTTAACATAGAGACTTGCTTTTTGATGATCTAGTCGAGTTCACAACCGCGTCGCATGAACGCGAACGAGGCGACGTTAGAGGCGTCAAGGTTTAAATTTAAACTCGCTTTATATCCCCCCGTAATTCCTGCAGGATGTTCTTTGTATGTATACAAGTTCGCAACGACGTGAACGTGCGAAGCCCCGTGAAAATTCTACGGCTATTTTAAGCAGCATGGAGCGAGAAAAAAACGAGAAAGAGAATAGACACGCTGCGATTTGCACGCGAATACACAGATGGCGGATGGGATTTGTTAATTGAACACAATTTTCTAATTAACGATCGAGCAAATCGAATTTAACTCGAATGCCGTGAGCGTCGAGTGATAATCAACATCAATACTTTGCACCTGAACCTGAACTGAATTAGTTCTGTGTGCAACACCATTTTCTACCTCATTGAAGAATATCTTCAGTAACTAACGTTCAGCTTAACCCTCGGCTATTCCAGTCATGTAGGTTGTCAGCTCCGGGTTATATTTATTTTTTCATTGGATACGCAATAATTCCAAGAGCGAGAAGATACGGTAATCAT